CAAAACATAAATGTAATTTGTTCCTTCTTCTGATACAAACAAGTAGCTTAATTATGTTTTCTTGCAACTTGAGAACTATATCATATACACAAATGTATGATTGAGCATTATTACTGTTGCTGAATATTTGTCATTCATATAAATTCAAAGTGCGGTGAAATTAAATTTACCATGGAACACAGTGATACTGCCATCACTTTTTTGGATTTGAAAATTATCTGCACTTCTGACAGATTTACTGACATGTATTCCAAACTTACAGACAGGAATAGTCTATTGAAATACGGTAGTTTTCATCCATTAAGGACTACCAAATCCTTACTGTGTAGCCAGTTACAGTCTCACAACACATCTGGTCGAAATGATTTTGAAATTCAAAGAGAGAGGGTATTCCTGTACTATTTTAGTATCTGAAGAAGAGAGAGTCCTTGAATTAGATAGGGTGTCTACATCGCAGCCTAAATCACAAGAAAGAGGGGCACTCAGAAGACTTCCATATCACAGCATAGTCCCAAAAGTATAGAAATAGCTCACATCATCCGTAGCCATTACGGAATCCTTAAAAAAAGATTTGGAGTTTCAAATCTTCCCATTATTTTCTAAAAAAGAAAAACTAATAACTTCAGAGACATCTTGGTACACACTGATATTGAATTCTTTACCAAAATAACCCCCAAATTCTTATCTACACAGGTCAATGGCACATTTATGTGCATTAACAGTAACTCTTGCTATTTCGTAATCATGGGAGATAACTTCACTAATCCAAATATTGACCAATACGTCACATATTTGACCCTGTAAATTCCCAAATGACCGGGGAAAACCAATACATGTTAACACTGTTATATTTGACAGGTATTCCTAAAACTATTGGGGCTTTAGTGCACATATCAAGATTATGAAATTTGCTGTTAAAATAGAATTAATGCGTGCGAAAATCCTACCACAAATTAAAGAATAACCAGTAAAAATAGCCAGCATATGTGGTAAAGTAGTTACATCAAACAACTCAAAATATTGAAAATGATATGCTACTTTGGGGTAATTTTCTTTCATGAGCCCAGAAAATCAGATTGTCAAATTTACAAGTTTGAAAAGGGCATGTAATATATCTGGCCTTGTACCCTTCTCAGAAAAACCTGGAAAACCAGCACATGAAGGGACTATATTTGTGAGACAATAAAAATATTAGGGTTTTTATTGCACATATTACATATAACATTATAAAATTTCCTGTGAAAATGGAATTCATGTGTGTGAAAAACACAAATAAAAATTTAAATGACAAATTTGACTAGCATTTGTTATAAAGTGGCTACACCGAACAACTAAAAAAATATGCTGGGGTGTCTAATTTTGAATATGGTAGGCAATAATGGTGGAAAATTTCTTTCATAGGCAGATATAGTCTCTGTAAGGTGACATGGGCCGAGAAATACAATTTGTCAAATTTCCATGTATAAAACTGAAATGGGAAGACCCCATATTTGGCCCTGTCCCCAAAAAACATAAAACCTTTACATGGGCGTATTGTTGTGCTTGTGGGAAATCATAGGTGTTTAAAAGCTGTAATACATATAAGAATGATGATATATATACAGTGAAAGTGCAATGTTTGTTTGAAAATGACACAAAAAATATAAACACCAAGTTTATCCAGGTGTCATGACTAAGTGGCAACAAAAAAAGACTGGACATATACCTTTTGGAAAGCCTGGGTTGGCTGCCTTTGAAAATGGCATGCCCTCATTGAGTATGTTTCTTTCCTGGGCTGCCATGCTGTGTCAAAGGAGACAGGAGATCTGTGCATGGGGATTATGGTTGTTCTTGTAAAACCGCATTGAACAGAAATATAACTGTTTTATTGCATATAAGGATGGTTATGTGACTAAGTGGCTACAAAAAAATGGACATACCACTTTTTGAATATCCTAGGGTGTCTACATTTACAAATAGTATGCTGCTATGGAGAAAATTTGCTTTCCTGGACTGCCATACTGACTCAAACGAGGTGTAGATCCGAACAATCAATTTCAAAAAAGTATAAGGTGGAGTATCTTACATACGCTTTTCAAATAGTCCTATGATATGTCCTAAAAGGAAGTAAGACAACAAATAATAGTGCAATATTGCCTATACAATAAATAGCAGAAATTGAATAAAGTTCCAGCAAATGCAAACTCACAAAGGTGGAGCCACTATGAATTGGGCTCAGATAATTCGCCTTGTGGGATGTAAAGAGTCCCACTCCCTTCTCTGTATCCTGAGATCTTTGTTGAAGATAATCACAAATTCGCAGAAGGAATGTGATAAAATAATACAGAATTTATTAAAAGTAATAAAACAATATAGAAGACCTTACAGTCTCTGTAGGGTAGTCTTGATAGCAAAACGCGTTTCGCCCCTTCAAGGGGCTTCCTCAGTTGCTGTAAATGTTCCTTAGTTTCTCTTCGTGATATAAAGCTAATTCTTGCCGCCTTTTTCGTCGTTTCTTCCTTTCCGGCTCGCCGAACTTCCGGTTTCCGGTCTTTGCGTTCCACCTTTGGAACGCACCGCCGACATTTATGAGTTTCCTGGAGAACGTCGGTCTCACTTGTCTTCTGGTTCCTGCGTTCCACCGTTGGAACGCATTTTAGTTATCTCCCAAAGTCTCTTGTTTAGAACACTTTACACATTGTACATTTTAAATTCCTTTGTCCTTTTTATGTCAAACTCCCTCCTCCTCTCTTTGTTCTTTGGTTGAGATTTAATAAAAAAAAAATATATATATAGAGACATATAATAATGTAACATATAACAATCTATATTTATGAAATATGTAGTATGATCAAATCCAGTAAAGGGTATTGTATATTATAACTGCCACAGGGGGAAAGAAGCAGGAGGGCTGGCACAGATTTTATTTTAATAATCTTATAGATGTGATAATACACTCCATTTTTTTCTTGTAACTAAATCTGGGTATAGGTATAGGTATAAATGAGAACTTTCTCTAAAATAGCAGCTCTTGCTGCCTAAATGCAAAAATAAGAACCCCAACATACTTAAAAGTATACCTCCATAATAAAATATATAAATACAAAAAAAAACAAACAATCAATTTGTCAGATTTTTATTTATGAAAACTGGGGGTCCATATTTGGTCCTTTAACTTCCACAAATCCCAGAAAATAAGTACACGGGGCATTGGTGTACTATTGAGTCAGCACAGAATACAAATATGTGTTTTATAGCCGTATTATGATATTTCTAACAACTTAAAAAGACTAAATAAAAATAAAATGTCTTAATTTCTCACATTTATTTAGATTTAATTCCATTAAAATTAGGGTTAATATATAAATATATTCAATATCAAAAGAAAGTCATATTTGTCTTGAACAAAAAGATATATAAGTGTGCATGCACTAAATGTAAAATATGTAAATTATGGTTGCACAAACATATAGTTCAAATTAAAGTTTTGTTTTGATTCAGAATGTGGACATTTGCCGCCTACCTAAAGTCTTAACAAATGGAAATAAAGCATTATACTGACATCTAGTGGACAATATACTAAAGTGCGGTCAGAAATTTTTATTTTGCCTTTCAGTATTTTTTTTTTTTTTTTAAAACATTGTTTTAAGTGATAAAGTTATTTATCACAGAAAAAATGATGACTGAGAAAAGATTATGCCCAACAATTTACAGCAAATGAATCCTGCATCTATTAATTACAAGAGAATACACCACAGGTAATAGTCTGTGGGGAGCACCTCCAAATTAACATAAGAGGCATGGGGGCACATACAGTTCACTTTATAAAGGTCTAATCATGAAGCACCAAATCTTGTCCAGATCATCAAAATTCTATGAAAATGACTAGATTCCAACTGGATTAGGAATTCTCATATTTACTAAATCCAAAGCCAGTCTAAATTTTGGTCTTATGACTGAATCTGCACTATTCGTCCATTTCCATTTAGTGTCAACTTTAAAATCAATGCTAAATGGGGGACAAGCCAAGGTCAAGGACAATAAAAATCTGAATAAGCAGAGGTATCAAATAGAAAACAGACTCTCAGATAAATCTGTCACGTATTCATCCGTACATAAAAATGTGGTTAACGGCATTTACTGTCCTGACAAGAAAAGTTGTGCCGAGCAACATTACCGTCCTGACAGGAAAAGTTGTGCTATGCAGCAATAATGCACATGGAAACCTGGTAATTAGTTTTGGGATCAAAGGCTGGTCATGGTAAATCAAATCCACAGGAGGGTTTAGCTGAGCAGCGATCATGCACACCTGGTAATTGCCTGGGGTCAAAGGCCGGTTACAGCCAATCGGATCCAGAGGAGGGGTATTTAAACCCAACTCTCCTCTTGTTCATTGCCCTGTCATGGTTTCATGCCTATGGTTATCCGAGAGTGCACTTCCCTCCTCCGTTAGATGCTCACTCAGTCTCCACTCCTTCCAAAAATCATTAAAAACCCACTTCTTCATAAAAGCGTATCAATTAAACTGTTAATAGCTCCCGACTGATTCCTCTCTTGCAACTGTCATTAGTCTAATACTATCCTTACCTTTTTGTGTCACTTTACCCCACTCCCTCTAGCATGTAAGCTCATTTGCAGGGCCCTCAGCCCTGTGTCCAACTTGTTTGGTTACAACTACATGTCTGTTCTTCCACCCATTGTAAATCGCTGCAGAATTTGATGGCGCTATATAAATAATAACATAATAATAATAATCTTGATTTTCTGGTATTTGACTTTGGCTTTGTTTTGACTTCCCTGATATCTGGTATCCTTGACTTTTGGCTTTCCCCCATCTTTGTGTCATCTTTGTGTCTGATTCTGTGTCCCTGACCTCGGCAAGTATTTTGACTATTCTTGGAGACGTTAAGTCCGGCCACTCCAAGGTGCGGTTATACGTTATCCTTAGTCCTAGGTGTGACACAGTACTGCTTGCTGGATCAACTTGTAATCCTGACATTACAACATATTTCTCTGCCTAATGGTTCAAACGTCAGTTTGAATTCTGCCAGGAATTCCTGGGAATTCCTGGGAATTACCAGGAATTCCTGGCAGAATTCAAACTGACGTTTGAACCATTAGGCAGAGAAATATACGCCCTCACTGTCCTAATGCATATCAAACAAGGGGACCGGTCTATCTCGGATTATCCCATAGAATTTTGTACCTTGGCATCTGAGGTAGACTGGACTAACAATGTATTCATCGCTGCTTTTAAAAAGGATTATCCGAAGTTATACTTGATGAAATTGCTGCCAAAGACCTACCTAAGGGGTTAAATGACTTTATTACCTATGTGATGCAATAATAGACTCAGGACCAGGGAAATTACTAGAAACAGAACTAGAACTAGACAATTCTCCAAACCTGTTGTCCCTGATCTCTCAACGCTGTCTGAACCTATGCAGTTAGGGGTTACAGGACTGTCTCAAGCAGAGAAACAGTATAGGAGAAGAGAGGGTCTGTGCTTATATTGTGGCAAGAAAGGGGAAATGAGAGATGTTTGTCCTATATGTCCAGAAAACTTCTGCACCTAAAAACCTTAAGGGGACAAATCTTAGGTATAATGGATACATCCTCTAGCAATTCCCGAAGCAGATTTCCCCTTGATATTTCCACCTTTTGCAACGAGGAGAACTTTTCATGCAAAGCCTCAGGTGCGGCTGGTAACTTTATTGATTTGTATTTTGTTAAAAAAACACACCATACCAGTCAATAGACATGTGCAATTAGTTTCATTCCGAATGTGTGAATAGCTGAATTGCCGAATTGCCGAAGTTCCGAAATTGCTGAATTCCCAAAATTGCCGAAGTTGCCAAAGTTCCGAAGCACAGAATTGCCGAAGTACTAATATACCCAGTGGAAGAATGAAGAATGTTACACTGTATACCAGTTTAAATAAAAATAAATTAAATAAAAAGTATACAAACATGGCCAGGATTCAGCTGTAAACATTTGCAACACTTACAACAATCAAGTAACACATTCATATAAAATGAAAGTTACTTAGTCAGTCAATGGAATGACAGGAATGAATAAGAAGATAACTCCCTAATTAATGTGAAAAAACAAACACTGTGTCCCCCCTCCCGAGCCCCCACCCGTGCCGCGCGGGTGGGTGCTTCTAAACTGAAGGGGAGACCTATTGTCCCCCCTTACTCTAATTTAGGGCCCCCATCCACTGCTCAGGGGTGGGGGCCAGGGGGGAGGACAATAGGACCCCCCTTATTTTACTTTAGGGCCCCCACCACTCAGGGGTGGGGACCAGGGGGGAGGACAATAGGTTCTCACCCCTTATTTTACTTTAGGGCCCCCACCCGCCTCTCAGGGGTGGTGTCCGGGGGGGGGGGGCAATAGGTCTTGATCAACATGAGGTTCAGGCAATAGGTCCCCCCACCAGTTTAAAAAACTCTGCTTGTGCAGCATGGGTGGGGGCTCGGGAGGGGGGACACAATGTTTTTTTTTTTTGCCACAGGCTGCTCACTCTTTAATAGAAATACCCCTACTCACGGTATATCGAGTAGTGGCAGAATTGACTAATACTAAGTAATTTTTACTTAGTATTAGTAAATTTAACTGAAAGACCAATTTAGGTCTTTCAGCCTTTTGGTAGCTAGCTCCCTAATACCATGGGAATTAGGGAGTTATCTACTAAGCGGCTTCAAGAGAACATCCGAAGTCCCGAAGGGCCGAAGTCCTGAAATTCCGAAATGCAGAAGTTTCGAAATTGCCGAAGTGCTGAAGTTCTGAAGTGTTGAAGTGCTGAAGTTCAGAAGTGTCAAAGTCCCGAAGTTCCGAGGTGCCGAACCGGAGTGCCGAAGTCCTGAAGTTCCAAAGTTCCGAATTGCCGAAGTCCTGGATTTAGGAAAGCAGAACCAAACCGAATATTTTCCCCATGCTCATCCCTACCAGTCAAGGAGAGATCATCACCTCTAGCGGTTGAGGCTATTGATGGGAGACCCCTATTTCAATCTCTTATTACCCATGAGACCTTGCCTATTTGTATTTCAAGACTTTATTAATGATGTACTCAGAGACTTTATTTACTCTTTTGTGCTTGTATACCTGGATGATATCCTTATTTATTCCCCCGACATCCAAACTCATCATGATCATGTCAAACAAGTTTTACAAACTTTTCTTAAAAATTGTCTTTATTGTAAACTTGAGAAGTGCGTTTTTGATCAACATGAGGTTCAGTTTTTGGGGTATAACATTTCTGCCTCCGGTTTCCAAATGTATCCTCGCAAACTAGAGGCCGTTCTACAATGGCCATTACCCAGTGCATTAAAAGCCATACAGAGGTTTAATGGTTTCTCTAACTATTACTGGAGATTCATCAAAGGTTGATGCCTCCGAAACAGGGGTCGGGGCTATTCTTTCTCAGAAAGAGTCAGGATGCCCCTTTGCATCCTTGTGGTTACTTCTCCAGAAAGTTGTCTCCTGCTGAGCGTAACTATGACATTGGTAATAGAGAACTGTTAGCCATCATACTAGCGTTTAAGGAATTGCGACATCTTTTAGAGGGTTCCAAGGATCCCATTCTGATTATTACTGATCACAAAAACCTGGCAAATATTCAGGATATTTGACTGTCTTCTAGACAAGCTAGATGGTCATAATTTGTGTCTCGCTTTAACTTCATTATCACCTACAGACCCGGTTCTAAGAATGTTAAAGCTGACACCTTGTCTAGACAATTTGACATTGAATCGCATCTAGAACAAGAGACATCCCCTATTATTTCTCCTGAGTGTATTATTGCATCCACTGTCCTTTGCTTAGTGCTATCATGGTGGCTCAGCCCCCGGCACCTTGCAACAAACCTAAATTGTTTATTCTATTACCTGACAGGAAAGAGATGCTGAAGGTATTCCATGACAATGTGACCACTGGGCATCTGGGTATTAATAAAACTGTATACGCCATTTCCAGGTCATTTTGGTGGGAGTCACTCAGGAGGGATATTAAAGATTATATAGAAGCCTGCTCTGTCTGTGCAGTTTTGAAGGTTCCTCTTAAACTTCCGTGTGGATTGTTACAGCCACTTCCTATACCCAGTATCCCATGGTCTCATTTATCAATGGATTTCATTGTTGAACTGCCTAGTTCCAATGGGTATACTACCATCCTCATGGTAGTTGACCGTTTTTCCAAAATGGCACACTTTACTTCACTTAAAAAATTGCCATTGTCTCAGGACCTGGGGCACATATTTATACGCGATAATGTCAGGCTACATGGTATTCCTCAAAATATTGTGTCTGACAGGGGTTCCGAATTTGTGTCATGGTTCTGGAGGGTATTCAATAAATAGTTGGGCATTGAATTGTCATTTTCCTCTGCTTACCATCCCCAAACTAATGGTACGGCGGTCGTCATCCTGCTGTTCTCCCTGCTGTGTTTTCTGATACGGCTATCCCTACTCTGGATGATCACGTTACCTCTATTCGTGATACCTGGACTAAGGTTCACTCCTCTTTTTTTTTTTTCTTTATTTTGAGTTGTGCATAAGGTTAAATTACAGGCTTTTGCTGCCACGATGGCAATAATAAGTTACTTCATCAAACATGGTACATTGGTAGCATGGCAGTAGACAAAAATTCACATTTTTGTATGGTTATGACTCGCTATCATGTTATGATGCATTACACTCAATTAATGTACTGAGTTGCATGATATTCCAAGGTCATGCGCTTTCAGTAACATAAGGACATAAACATTCTGTGGCTGCGTGGATGATGTGGTCAGCGGTGATATCAGCCTGGGCCCTTGGTATAGTTAGAGTCAGCCAATGCCCTGGTTCGGAGGAGTCAGCGAATCTAGTAGTGTTGCAAAATCAGGATGCGTCAATGCCCCTCCGCTGCCCCAGACATGAGTGAGGATCTGTGTCGGAATGCATCGGGTTCGGCTGCATGGGAGATCCGCTGCCCTCTCAAACAAGGGAGTATAGAGACTTCTTGTGGTCTGCCACCGTGGACGGCAACGCTTCTTTTGTCGCTGTGGTCTGTGTGATGGGATACTGAGCCGGGTGGCACTGGGTTTATGTGGCTGTTTAGTAGGGATACAGGCGTCGTAGCTGTTACCTGAGATGGTTTCAGCATACCTCGCTTTACTCCCGCCCCTTCACCTTCTTGGGGTAACTTTGGAGCTAGCATTCTGGCCTCTAGCCATGCCAAGAAATGCTCAAAGATTAGATCCAGTCGCTGTAGCATTTTGTCAGCCGCGTTTGGGTGAGTGGTGTCAGCCTGCTTTGACTCTTGTGCTTGTATTGAGTGCTAAGGCGCCATCTTGTGGGTGCTGGTTTCGGTCTCAGCTCATGCCATGTCAGGTATCAGCCGGCTAAGTGAATGTTAGGAACTGGCCTGAGGTGACCGGGATAACCCCCACCGGTCCGGGGGAGGGGTGCGGCAGTGTTCGGCCACCTCGCAGGCAGGTATAGCACTCGGAGAGCGGCCATCTCTCCTCTGTGCGTTCGCCCTAGACCACAGGAACTGAAGCCTATCAATCCGGTGTCGGGGAGGCTCGTGAGAGGTATCTCCGGATGCACCGTCGGCCCCGGTATCGGGGAATTGCGTCCCTGCAGGCAGAAATCATTTTGGCTTGGTAGTAAGCCACTAAAATAGCTGTAAGACACAGGAGCCCTAGCGGCATGCGTCTGTTCTGCTCGGTGGTCAAGCTCCGCCCCCCACTTAGCTTTTGAAACTGCGGCTGCTCGCTTTAAGTTTAATGCGGATAAACGGCGGTTTGGTTATCCTCACACAACATCAGATTGAAGGTTCTAAGCATGAAATTTGCTCCGAGATTCCTTGGTCCTTTTCGTGTGGTTAGGAGAATCAACCCTGTTTCATATTCTCTGGCCCTTCCAGCATCCTTACGTATACCTAATACTTTTCATGTGTCCTTGCTCAAACCGCTTGTTTGCAATCAGTACACAAGTCCAATTGTTCTCCCTCCTCCTTTGGTTGTTTCTGGACAGGAGGAGTACAAAGTCTCCTCCATCATTGATTCCAGGTTTTCTTGTGGTTCCTTACAGTATTTGATTGATTGGAGGGGGTATGGGCCTGCTGACCGCTC